AAGTGTACCTGGCGTATAAGACGACCCCCCACTTGGAGGCATATTTTTCAGGGCCAAAAAATCGTCTTATACGCCGGCAAATACGGTATCTTAAATTTTAAAAAATGTTAATTCGCTGTACCAGCAGTATTCGCGGCAGATGTCTCACAGGAAGTTCTCTGCGCCCAGGCACGGGTCTCGGGGCTTCTTGCCTCGGAAGCACTGCAGCCAGCACCGCGGGAAGGTGAAGAACTTCCCCAAGGATGACCCCTCCCAGCCTGTCCACCTCCCAGCATTCCTGGGCTACAAGGCTGGCATGACCCACATCGTGCAGGAGGTCGATAGGCCAGGGTCCAAGGTGAACAAAAAGGATGTTATGGAATCTGTGACCATTGTAGAGATGCCACCCATGGTGGTGGTGGGCATTGTAGGCTACATGGAAACCCCATTGAGGCCTTCGTACTTTCAAGAACATCTTTGCTGAGCATATCAGCGATGAGTGCAAAAGGTGCTTCTATAAGAACTGGCATAAATCTAAGAAGAAGGCCTTCACCAAGTACTGCAAGAAGTGGCGGGATGATGACGGCAAGAAGCAGCTGGAGAAGGACTTCAACAGCATCAAGAAGTACCACCAGGTCATTGCGTCATCACCCACACTCAGATGCCTCCTACTTCCTCTGCACCAGAAGGAGGCCCACCTCGTGGAGATCCAGGTGAACGGAGGCACGGTGGCCGAAAAACTGGACTGGACCTATGAGAGGCTAGAGCAGCAGGTCTCTGTGAACCAAGTGTTTGGATGAGATGATCGATGTCATTGGGGTGACCAAAGGCAAAGGCTACAAAGGGGTCACCAGCCACTGGCACACCAAGAGGCTGCCCCATAAGACCCACCGAGGGCTGCAAGATTGCCTGTATTGGGCTGTGACATCCAGCCCGGGTGGCCTTCTCTGCAGTCCGGGCTGGGCAGAAAGGCTACCGTCACTACACTGAGATCAACAAGAAGAGCTACAAGACTGGCCAGGGCTACCTCGTCAAAGATGGCAAGCTGACCAAGAACAACGCCTCCACTGATTATGACCTGACAAGAACAGCAACCCTCTGGGTGGCTTTGTCCATTTCGGTGAAGTGACCAATGACTTTGTCCTGCTGAAAGGCTGTGTGGTGGGAACCAAGAAGCCAGTGCTCGCCCCCTCCCTCCGTGCTGGTGCAGGCCAAACAGCGGGCCCTGGAGAAGATTGACCTCAGGTTCATGGACACCGCCTCCAATCTTGGCCATGGCCACTTCCAGACTGTGGAGGAGAAGAAAGCATTCATGGGACTACTTAGGAAAGACCGAATTGCAAAGAAGGAGCTTAATATCAGGAACAACAGATTGCACAGCTGGTGGGATCTCAATAAAAATTCTTTCCCAGTGGGAGGGAAAAAAAAGATATACTGTAAATCCAATGATGGGAAGTAACTTCAATTCTTATAAAGTGTGGGAGGATTATTTTTATTATGAAAACTTTCAAACATAAATATATAAAACAAAAAAATTTCAAACATATATAAAGTCGAGAGAATAAAATCACCTTGACCTATCACCCAGATTTTAACAGTTATCAAAGTTTTGCCACACTCGTTCCATCTGTCCCTTTCATTGTGGTTTGCTGAAGTGTTATAAAGTATTATACAGCCTCCATCTGTTGTTTTTAGTCCTACATACTTCCGTATGCAACTCTAAAAAATGTGGACGCTTTCTTCCATGCCCACAGTGCCATTGGCACATCCTGTAAATAATTCCTTGGTGTCATATAATATCTAGTACATACAAGTGTATAAGTTCCCTCTGTTATTTGAAAATATCCTTTTTACACTTGTTCGAGTTAGAATCTAAACAAGGTTCACACTTTGCATTTGGTTGTTATGCCTTTGAATCTCTTTTAATCTTGTGGTTCAGATTGTTGATGGCTGATTTGGGTGGCTGAGGGGATTTAGTGGGAAGAAGCAGGGGTGAGACGATGGATTTTAAGCTATGCTGAAAGGAAACCTTTAAAATTACAGAGCCTCCTGAGAATAGGGAGATTTGGTTCTAATGTTTGTGGTGGAAATAATATTTTTAGGCCCATGTGAAACTTTTTTAAATGCCTCCTTTAGAGTAATATTATATATACTTTTGAGTAATAAAATATATAATTTTGTTCTATGCAAGACATAAAAAACTAAATTTGAGTTGCTATTTGGAATGTTTAGTCAGAAACTGAAGCTGTCTACTTACACCAAACCAGAATAATAAGAATAAAAAAATCCCACATTGTTTCTAAGAGACTTAATTCTCACTATAAATTAGAAGTCAGTTATCTTTCTACAGACTATCTTCCTCAGTTTATGAAAGAGTATGCAGTAACACCCCTGACCCTCAGTTTTGCTTTGTGAGTTTCAGTTACCAGTGCTCAACCTCAGTCTGGAAATATTAATGGAAAATTCCAGAAATAAACAATTTGTAAGTTTCAAATTGTGTGCCATTCTGGGGAGTGTGATGAAATCTCATGCTGTCCCATTCTGCCCGGGACGTGAATCATCCTTTATCCAGTGAATCCATGCTGTATGTAAAAGTAATAAGATATTTTGAGAGAGAGAGAGAGACAGACAGACAGACACAGACACAGACCACATTCACATAACTTTTATTAATTACGGTATATTGTTATAATTGTTCTATATTATTATTAGTTATTGTTAATCTCTTACTGTGCCAGATTTATAAATTAAATGTTATCATAGGTATATATGTGTAGGAAAAAACATAGCATATATAGGGTTTGGTACTGTTGTGGTTTCAAGCATACACCGGGGGTCTTGGAACATATCCCCTTGGATCAGGGGCGGACTGCTGTATTTTTCCTTTGGACTTTATCTCTTTATTTTCAATATTAACTTTAGTTAAATCCAGTTACAATCCTCGTAAAATTATTATGTGTGTGTCTACCACTGAATAGCCTATTTCTTAGGATAATATTATACAATCCTGTAGGCATAAGTTTAAAACATTTTTTAAATTAAATGTTCTTAAGCATCCTAGAGTAACAACTAATATCATAGAGCAGAATTTCACTAACAGTAATGTTCAGATAACCTCAAAATGTTTATGCCTTTTCCCAGATAACTTGCTTTTTTAATTCTCCATAGGATCTGGTTGAAATTTTATTTGTGGTTGTCCACATTTTGAGAGAGATGAAAATGATTACTAAAATGTACTTTAGAATGTGTTTCCTTTGACTATGTATAATCTCTATAAATGTAGAACATAAATTACAAAAAAGTTATGTTCTCTTGGTCAGAACTCTGGAGTTGTGCAGTGGTATAGAACACCTGTGAGAGCTTGATGAACCATCTTTAGAACATGTTAAATGTGGGTGCAAACCTAGGTATTAAAGCTTATTTTGCAGACAAGACACATGCTTTATATGCTTTCATAAGAGTGGAATCTTTAATAGCTTCAAATCCTAAGACCCATCATAAAGAGGAAAGTAGGTGAAAAGCAGAAAGTGAAACATTTTTCAGTTTCCCTCCCTCCAAATGTAAGGATATGTGTTCTTTTCTAATAGTGTTAGTACGTATCAACAGTTTGTACTTTTACCTTTTGGTACCTGATAATTCCAAATGTTTGCTCTCCATATGCCTTTCAGGTGCCCTAATGTGAGTCTGCAAAAGCTCCCAGAACAGTGGTTATGGAATGTTTTAGAGGAAATTAAAAGCAGTGATCCTTCATCTAAACTCTGTGCTACAAGGCGCAGTGCTGGAATTCCCTTCTACATACAGGTACTAATCCACAGGACCGTAGCTGTTTGTTTGTCTTTTGATAATAGTGCATTCTAACCCCCTTGACGTGTGAGGGAGCATATTGCATAAGGTCCATTTCTGTCTCTTTAGTACTACAGCATTTGTGGCTTTATTTTTTTTTAAAAGATTTTTATTGGGGAGTTGGGGGATGGGAACAGTGCTGGGGAATTGGGGAAAGGGGAACAGACAAGTTGCTGTCATTTTGTTCTTCAGTCTAGTTGTGGAGGACGTTGCTTCACTGGCCCATCTTGGCACCATCATTGCGCTCTTCCTGGGCGAGGCAGGTCAGTTGCCGGCTTCTGGATGGCCACTCACTGCGGCTGCTGGCCGCTCACGCTGACTGCTGGCTACACATGGTAGCCCATGGCAACCCACTGCCACAGGGGCTGCAGCCTACGCCATCGCCGGCGACTCATGGCAGCCCAGCTCCAAGTTGAGCTGTTGTTCAGCATCTTAGCTGTAGAGGGCAGTGTCACTGGCCCTCATATGTGGGATCCAAACTGGGACCCTCTGGCGTCTCAAGCCAGCTCTTAACCAACGCGCCACTCGGCCGGCCCTTGTGGCTTTGTTTTAGTGTGTGGACAGTGTGTTCTCGTGACAGATCTGTTCTTGGAACAAACACTCCAAGAGGTCAGTCTTGTAATGTAAACAGACAGTGGTATAGATTTCCGCCTGTGTATTAAATAGGCAGACATCACTGTGGCACATTCATTGCTCACTTCCAGGAAGTGCACATGTTGCTTTTTTTTTTTTGAATTAGGAAAAAATAGTCTTCCTGTCACATCAAAACCTTTAAGATCCTCTTCGTAGGCAACCAGCGTTAACAGTTTCTTTTGAATCCGTCTATAAAATTTCCATGTATAAAATAATCCTAATCCTAATAGTAGCTAACATTTGTAAGTATTTATTTCACATATGTAATCATATTTAATCCTTCCTCAAGCCCTATGAGATAGATACTGTTATCATCCGTATATTATAGATGAAGAAACTGGAGCTTAGGAAAGTTAAGTGAGTTGCTAAAGGCCCCAGAGATAGTAAGAGTGAAGCTAAGACTTGAGCCCATGAGCCTGACCCCTGAGCCCCTCTGCATATGAGAGTGTGTGTGTGTGTGTGTGTGTGTGTGTGTGTTTTATTTAACACAGTTGAAAGCTATTGCACACACTGTTTTGACCCTTGCTTTTTTTCACTTGACATTATACCTTAAAGAGTGCTCTATATCAGCACACCGATATATTACTATTGGATAGAAAAATATTTTATTTCCACAGTGTTGAAATTAAGAGGCTATCACCTTCATGAATCCAAAGGATAAAAATCCGAAGTCCTCACAATACTAAATCAGACCCTGACCCGAAAGGTCATTCTTTAATATTCAGTAAGATAAAATCCAGGAACAGGGGTAGTCTAATAAAAGCATTGAAAGTGGGCCGGCCTAGTGGCACATTGGTTAAGAGTTGGCTTGGGACGCCACCTCTGAGCAGTAGGGCCGCCAGTTCGGATCCCAGATGAGGGCCAGTGATGTTGCGCCCTCTACAACTAAGATGGTGAACAACAGCTCGACCTGGAGCTGGGCTGCCATGAGTTGCCGGTGATGGCGTAGGCTGCAGCCCTTGCTGCAGTGGGCTGCCTTGAACTACCGTGCATGGCTGGCAGCCAGCGTGAGCAGCTGTCCAGGGGCCAGTAACCGATCTGCCTCACCCGGGACGAGCGCAATGATAATACCAACATGGGCCAGTGAAGCGGCGTCCTACACAACTAGACTGAAGAACAAGAGGACAGCAACTGGTCTGTTCCCCTCCCCCAATTCCCCAATAAAATCTTTAAAAAAAAAAAAAGCAATGGAAGTAAGTAAAGTGAAGTCTCTGTTTTTTAGTGCCCCTAAAGATTTGCCTTCTCTTATTCTTCCCTCAAATTCCCAAAGTCATGATTTTTTTTTATGACAAGGGGCGATGGAGGTTGTTGATTTGATTCAGACATCATGGAGGTAGATCTGCTGGATGGATTTTGGTGCCCGTCAGAAATCAGCTCCTCTCTGATCTGATGCGTTTTGGATCAGAATGGTTGGTTCTCCTTCCTGTAATTCATTCTGACCTAGTGAGTTCTTTTCCTCATTCATCAGTCTGAGGGCAAATGTTAAGGCGGCAACAAGGTCTGGTTGCATGTTTGTGCGGATGCTTATTCCACCTCTGCCCTCCAACTAGTACTAAATATTGGTCCAAGTGATAGAGCAATCAGGATGAGAAGAGTGTCATAACTTCATACAGCTCTTGGGGGATAAAAGCCATGGCTCCCAAAAGACATTTTAGTAATTGCATATAGCTTTCTTATTTTAGTTAAATAAAATCTAATTTATTAGAAAAATATGCTTAGAGAGGCCCCATTTCTCTTAGCATAACTTACTAAGAAAGTTATATTCTTGTTCTGGTGGAAACCTCTGCTTAGTTAATGTTAGCTGTGGAGAAGGACTGCCTACTTAGTTTATGAGCTTATCTTTTGTATAGACAGATAAAATTTTTTTCAATGGTCATGAAAAACACTGTATGTGTTTGCTGAGCATAAATGTACTGTGAGAAATTTCTCTTTTAAACTTATTTTGCAGGTGTATCTTTACTTTTCTCTTTTTGTGGATTATAAATACTTCAGAAGAAACTGCGTAGCTTGAAACTTTTCACTCTTGGGAGCCAGTTGCTACATAACTATGAAATACCTGTGATCCTCCAAGCCCCTACCCAACCACTAATCTATTTTCTGTCTCTATAGATTTGCCTGTTCTGGACATTTCGTATAAATGGAATCATATAATATGTGGTCTTTTGTGTCTCTCTTCTTTCACTTAGCATGATGTTTTCAAGGTTCATCCACGTTGTAGCGTGTATCAGTACTTCATTCCTTTTCATCACCTCAAGTGGTTTGACAGCCTGTTTTTATGCTTTTTGAACATTGGCAAAATGCTAGACACAAAGCAGCTCTCGAAAATTCAAATACAGGACCCCTTTGGAGTTTGTAGTATTTTCTTTTGTCTCATGGAGTTGCCAGTGCTACAATTTGATAGTTTTCCAGGTAGAAACACTTTTGTGAAGAATTAAATAACTGATCAATCTCTAGGGTGTCTCCAAATTCTTAAAAGAGATTTAATCCAAGGTTTTTTTTGTTTAAGTAAAGAGAATTTTCTTGTTGGGTAAATTTGTTACTAAAACTGACTTGTTTATTCTATCTGAAATCTGCCACCTAATTATGGTCCTAAAAGGGTTGTCAATAAGAGCCATTCTCAACCTTAGAATTATATAATTAACAAGCAAACCAGATGTGACCTTAGAGATTCCATGATATCACCTTTACCTAAGTTTACAGATGAAGAGTCTGAGTGATGGAGAGGTTAAACTACCTGCCCAAGGCCACGTGGCTTCATTAACCTGCTTGATACCACATAGTTTTATCAAGGAGATTTTGCATTTTGGGATTGATTCTGGGAAGTAGCAAATAAATGTATGTAAAAATAAGAGCCTTGTTAATTTTTGTCTTGTTTTCCCATAGGCACTGTTGGCATCTGAACCTAAGAAAGGCAAAATGGATTTGTTGAAGATAACAATGAAAGAGTTAATCTCTTTGGCTGGGCCTACAGATGACTCACAGAGCACGGTCCCCCAGGTAAGAACAGAAGTACACAAACCCTGCTAGGAAGGTTGTGGTTTTAAATCTTTGTTGTACTTAAAAAAAAATCTTCTAAAGATATAGAACTCTTGAAGATAGGACAGATGTTTGAAGCTTATTTGGATTTTTTGGTTTGTTTGTTTTATTTTGGTCTTTTCCTGTCCACAAAATAAACCATTGCTTTAGTTGATATACACATGTATTGACCAAAATGAACTACTTTTAAATTCTGGTGAAAACATCCAATTTAGATATTTTGTAATGCTTAGCATTGTATCTAAAATTTTAAAAATGAATATGCTATCAGTTTAAAATTTCATGTGTGCATCTTCGAGTTGATATACATTTTATAATTCAGCAGTCGAATCTTTCCCTGAAATATAGTGTTTGACGTTGGGTATACTCTGATTTTAATTTTAGCTAATACTTACTTAGTCCCTTTTAGTCACTGCTAACGTTGGGTTAAGTATGTATGTATGTGAGCGTATGAAGTTGGATTAAGTACTCCTCACAGCTCTACTTTTCTTCACCATAGTCAATACCTGTCAAATACTTTCTGTCTAGGCTTTCTCAGTAAATGCTTCATAGTAGGATGTTCTACCCAACTGTAGGAGGCCTGTGCTAGGTCAGGGAACAGACTGAGAGCTGAGCTTTATAATCAGGTACAGTTAGTACATATGATTTTATTCCAGAGCCTATGGGAGGTGTTGAAGTGGAGCCCGTGGGCCCTGGATGTGGACTGGTATAGAAGGATGGGGTTTATTAACACATGGCACGTAGTGGCCTGTGACTATAAGATATCAAATTTATTTAAAACTTTTAAATAAAGTGTTATTAATCACCTTTCAGAAATGATCATTTAAAGATATTTTCCAATAAAATATGACAAATATAACTGATTCCATTTTCCTAGACTATCACTTTAAAGAAGAACTATTTTCTGTAAGATCATACAAAAGTAATGGAGTTTGGCTTTAAAGAATACTGGGTATTTATTGCCCTACTCTGCTTCAAGATCATTAATGGCATTTTAGATCACTTGTATTAGATTGGTAAAATTTAAAAATTTGTCCCTGACCAGTTTTCTAGATGTTACTTGATGATTTGCTTTCCTTCTCCCCCCCTATGGTTTATTTACTATTTTTATTATGTATCTGTGAAATACTTCAGCATATAAAAATGTAAATGAATAATGAACATCCATGAAACCAATTCCAAGTTTAAGAAGTAAAATGTTACAGATACAATTGTATACACTGTTTACTTCTACCCCATCCCATTCCCCTTTCTTCATCCTCAGCTGTAATCACTAATCCAAATCATTCCTATGCATGTTTTCATTTTATGACCTTTTATTTTTTTAGATCAATGGTATCATCATCTACACATCTTTTTGTAGTTTGGGTCTCTTCATTCAACATTAGTTTTTAAGATTCCTGAGCTCCAAGTACATTTTAATTTCTTAACAGTGTTGCATCGTATACAGTTTTGCCTTTCTGCTTGGTGTGAATTGGTGTTCGCCACAATTTTGCATTTCTCTGATAACTAGCTAGCTTTGACATCTTTTCGTATACTTATTAGTCTTTTTTTTTAAGATTTTATTGGGGAATTGGGGAGAGGGGAACAGCATTGGGGAATCGGGGAAGGGGAACAGACAGGTAGACAAATTGCTGTTTTTGTTCTTCAGTCTAGTTGTGGAGGACGTCGCTTCA